GGGAGAGTGCATATCGAGAACAATTTAAATTCCGTGATTTAATTGAAGTGTGGCTAAAAATTATTTCACTAGTTGTGTTTGAGTTTCAGCATAAGGCGGCTAGACGCGTTATTTGGGTCGTTATGATGTAATCCACTGCCAGCGTCCAAAGCAAGATAGAATTCTTACGAGTTTAGAGGGTCGCGCTAACTATAAACGTTATCCTGACCAGATGACAATGTGCATTATTTTTATTTGGTTATGAAACTTTGCGAAACACAATGCCATAGGCTCATGTAGACCTCACCGAATAAACTGTTTTCGCTTGAGGTTAACTAGTAAAATGTGTAGGCCTACGTACAGTCCCTTTCTCTGCTTGAACTTCTCACTGTATAAGCGAACTGGTCTCTGCTCGTGGTTGAATAGGCTGAATTTCAATCTGCACCATCGCATGCTAGGGTTTCCCCAACACTTTGTGTTGATCGCTCACAAATCATATTTCTGGGTCGGGATCTTTTTGGATAATAGCAAAACTCGCTAGTCTGCGCTTCCATGACGTATCTCTTCGGATGGGGATTCGCCAGGGCTGCAATCACCACATATTTCGTGGGACCAGCCTGGGCCTTTCTGAAATTACCCAGAGGAATATTGTTCTCTAGCCTAGTCCCCTGCTGGAGAGGACCTCGTTTTCTGTGAGCATGTGAAGAAAGTCTTATATTCCTTTTTCTCTGTCGTCCTTCGCAAGTTAAACGCAATAACTCCCCCCCTAAGAACTATATATCAATGTTAAGGATAGTTTCAGGTTTTAGTTGTTGCCGTTAATGGCAGTACTGTCAATGCATAGGAGTGTGTTTAAGCTAAAAATGTCTGTAATTAAAGCAGAATGTAATTTTCCGGATTGAACACGACTTAAGCTGAACGAATGCCTTTTCGTGGCAGAGCTTTTCACCACAACTGGGGAGTATCCTTCTTCATCTGACGGTTGAACGAGGTTCACTAGCCATGCAGTGACAACAGGAAGGCACGGTAATAGCTGATCTGGTCAAGGAACTGACGAACTTATGATAAGTCACTGGGTGAAGGCCTTTGTTGGATAGCGCTAAATTTTTCGGGATCTAGGCGCGACCAGTAATGTCAAAAGTGAATCCGAGGTATTTGATTGGTTCGAGGAGGAACTGACATTTGTCGGCCTTCAAGCGGAGCTCATTTATAAGCACACGTTCGAGTACTACGCTCGCTCACTCACTCACTCCTGGAGCCCAGTGGGCGTACGACCCATGATGATGTTGTCCAGGTGCCCATACCTACTCGGAATGCCGGAGTGTTGTATTAATCGACTTTTTAAACATAGCCAGGACGGTCTCGACACAAAACGACAGCCTCGTGTGTTGGAAGAGACTGCGGCGGGTGTTGATCGTCAGCAGTTCGAGTCACTCTGGAGCAACGTCGGTCCGCATGCACGCGTCAGCCAGACTTGATTCGGCAAAACAATTGCCACCATTCATCAGAGTGAACAATTCAGCCAAGACCTTTAGTGGGCAGCAGTTCGGCATTATTACGGCATCAAAACCACTGGAAAAGTCAGCACAAACTTGGATCGATCCACCAAGCTTCTTAATCACATCGACTGGTCCCGCACGGGAGGAGTAAGATACAGGCGTCAGAATTCTCAGCTCCTCTAAACGCTTTGGTTCGGCGCCGAGAAGTGGCAAGAATGCACATGGGGCTGATCTCTTCGGAAGTGACGTTGGTCGACTTCCAAGACACGGATGCAGCAGGGCTTAAATGGCCATGCAACGACCCAGGGCGTCTTGGAGCACCGGAACGAATAATTGGCGAATGTCCTCTGTGGGATCTGCAGGTACAATTGAAAACTGCATTTGAATGTAGACAGCGAAGAGTGGCATTTCGACTAAACCAAGTTGATACATCCACTCGGACCTAAGTAAGTTGAAATCCAAATTAATGACATATCAGATGGCGGCGATGGCAGTGTTGCAAAAGGCGCACAGCATTGAAATTGTCCAATTAACTAAACGGGACCGACCAACGCGCTGCTGACTGATTGAAAATTCTGATGAATTATAGGGCTGACGAGGAACTGCTAGAACCTCTCAGAGACTATGGTAATGCTCGATGCAGTGTCCAACCGTAAGTGGACTGCATGATGATTGAGGTAAAGGTCAACAAACTTTTTGTGGCCAGTTGCATTAAGCTGGAAAGTGGCCAAATTGCCAAAGGACTGGGATTTGAACTTTTGCTTCGATTGGGAACGCCGTCTGGAATTGGAAGTAGCAGGAACAGGCTTACTTCCATATACTGATGCTGGCTGGTAAAACCCACAACGTCTTCTTGCCTGGTTACAGTACTTTCTGCGATAATGACGGAAGGTACAACTCCAATGGGAATGCCATGAGCCACGGTGCCGAGAAGGAAATAACGGCAATTCCTCTTTGATCACTTGCTTGGGCAGCATAGGCAGTGTAGTTTTATTGCTACGACCGTATGAAATGCGCAGGATTTTTGTATGTTCTGGGTCATGGCGGAATCGTGTTTCAGATTGGCCGAAGTCTGACACTCCTCATCCGGCTCCTGAGGTGTAACTGGGCTGTCCTGTTACAATTAGGATGGGAGATGTTTGAGCATGTCAGCATGATCGGGGATTAGAGGTCGCACACAAATATGAGGCATATAAACTGGTCTTCAATGCAAAAGTTGAGCGAAAAAGCGCCGACACTCGCACTAGACAACGGCCGCATACAAAAAGAAATCGTTTGATTCCGTCTGGTCAGTCAAATAAGCGGGAATCGAGTGTTAAACAGGGACGACAGTCCACTGAAGATCTGCGGCGACGTCCTGAACATTCTCACGAAAACGATTTATCTTGGGTTCTTAGGTAGGATAAAGTTGGCCTGGCGTTTGTTTCGGTAGGCTCCCGTTTGCGGAGGAGGCGTTGGACCTTCCAAGCATCATTATAGGCGACAAGATCAAGGGAGAATAGGCTCACATATCGTTTGTACAAATATTCAAAAGTGATATTGGCCTGCGAATCACAAAGGAACCCAACGATGTTGCTGGCAATGTGGCTGACGAACCGGGAACGAGCGGGCACACCCGACTGATCCATGGGCGAGATAAGTATTTTGGCAATGAATGACTCGATCAGCTCTAGCTGTCTCTGAAACATCTGCATCGAGTCAGCGTATTCATCAGCCCTCTTAGTTGAGAATTTGTCTTCAAATCGTTATGACCCGACCTGGGACAAAGTTATAACACGAACTGTGTGTGTGTGTCCGACTGTCGTCCTATATCATCATCACGATAGAGAAACAAATCGCAATCGACCACGATGAAGTGCATTGGAACCTGCAAGTTATTACCAATGAAAAACGGTGCGTATTTATAGAACCCCGTTCAGGTTGGTCAAAATTCTGACTAATCCTCCTCAAGGAGAAAGGACTAAGAGAGCTTAGCAATCCCCTGCAGTCATGAACCAATAAGGTGCTAAGAATACACTGTGGCCTCAGCTAATTTTGAGAAGCTGCGAAAAGCATGTCGCTGCATGCGGGCACGCGCTTTCCAACGAGACTCACTGCATCTTTTGGGTATATGGACATTTCCAACACATGCACCTATGTGTCGTAGTAAGAGACGGCCATAGGATGTAGAGCAACTTTTACGGAGAATGGCACGAAAAGTGGGAAGCTTGAGACCAGTAAAAGAAGTTATTTATAGATATGCTAAGCAACACAAAAGATATGGAAGATTAAAAGCAGAACTGCGAAATGCTCAGCAATATCGCTAGCAATAGTTAAGGAAATCGTTGTTTTGACTCATTCCTGTCGATGTTTTTTGAACACGCCTCCTCAAGCCCAGAAGAAACACGTGTTTGATGGAACTACGTCAGTGTATGCTTAAGTACCATCTGCCGTACAATTGCTACCTCAGGTCAGCATTCACTAGACCCTTCGCACAATAGACTTCTATTGGTCTTTGTCTCAAACAACAAATCACCATGACAGAAGAAGGCTACGTAGAAGTTGCCCATGGGTTCGTCGCGCTCACGAAAATGAACTTCACGAATCTTTTGACAAACAACCACTCGATCTCCTTCGTCACGGTGCAGTTTGTCTTCTGAAGCCTGCGCCTCTGTCAGTTAATTTGGGAAACTCATGAATGGTGTCAGTCGTATACGATGAGGTAATGAGTCACCAGAACGTCAAAAGCTATACTTCTCCATTGTGTTAACACCAAATGCTTGCAATTAAACATCTTCCATAAGAGGTTTCAATAAATGTGCACCCCCTCAGCCTATGTCCTACCTGGACAACTGGCTCAAATGACAAAATTATGATGAAGATTCGTGGTAAATTATAGTAACACTAACACAGTTTTTCGTTTCCTAAGATAACCTTCGGTTTCATCTCCTAAAACAGGAATATCAGATAAAAAAACATAAAACAATGTGAATTCTTTTCAACCAGAGGGCTTCCACTCATCGCCTCTAGTTTATCCCGATAATATTTCAGTTCGTCACACCTTCCAAACTTTCCCTTTGAAAACTGTCCTGAAGGCCACAACTGATGCCCATACGGCGATTGTCTGAGGCCAAGCGAGGTCATTACCACAAATCGCTGTTCCACATCTTTGTTTGAATCTTAGTCGGTAAGTTACTCTTCCAAAAAATCCATACGAGATGACATTTCTATCAAATTTCATCGTTTCAGAATAAGTTCGGAAGACGGCCATGGTCACTTATTTGAGTATTTGTGTTTATGTACATGAATTTGAAATAAATAACTATTTTAAACCCTTCGATCGTCTATAGGCCGTGTCATTCAATTTAGCCCCTTCATTTCCTGCCAGAAACTATTTCCGCTCTTCAACAAGGCCGCCGATGTGGACAAGGATTACCTAACTCTGGTGTCCAATTGTTTTCGGGGATTAGATGTCGCAGTCAATCCTTTGACTTACGTATTTGGCTCATATCCCCTCTTGTCCTGGCCAGTTGATTGACCCAGATGGCATCCCTCATCCGTCTTCACCAGGTCAGCCATCGAAGACTTTCCTTCGCTAACATCCAAGTGCCAGTCGAGGTGCTTACTGAACGCGATGGACTGTCGCCGATTCAAATCAGAATGTGTCATGGTTATGCCGACCTCAAACGTCCCGCCGTCTCTGAGGTTTGTTCGAGCAGTGGCATACTTCTGTTTGAACCGGCTAGTTTATATATATATATATATATATCCACAGTGATCCACACTTGGGGTTGGGTATGACTGGCTGATGACGGCTAATTAGCCAGAAATGGCCATTCCGGTCTCCCTTGTCTTTGTCGGAACCACACGATCTACATCATTCTACTAGTCGCTGTGCGACTGCTTTGGGAAAGGAAGTTTATTGTGCAAATTTTCGACGCCGGTCCCCCAGTCGTCGTCAGGCAGAGACGGACAGCAAATGCGCCAACACAGCTAACATCTTAAGTACACGTAAAAAATCGATAATCCCTTGACGCTCACGCCAGAAAGCGGCCGTCGTGTTTGTCAGTCCGTTCTGATTGGTCCTCGCCTCTTCCATCTCTCCTTGAAATTTTTGTACGCGGCATCCAACTCGGTGTGCCGGTTGATGCATGATTCGTCTGAGTGCATGGCCTCAAGGAACACTCGGCCTTTCTTTGAGGGGCACATAGCGACAATGCGAGTTTTCTCCCAAGCGAAAGTGTCTCCGGTGTCCAGGGTGTGCATGGCCACTTGAGACAGATGGTTTCGCCTCTTCACTGCCAACCGGTGTTCGTGGATGCGTGTAGAGGCGCATTTTCCAGTCTGGCCACAATAGACGGCATCACACGCTTCACAATGGATCTTGTAAACGACTTCTTTTTTGTCTAGATAGTTAACCCTATATTTAGGGTGCACGAGCTGAGTGCGCAGAGTAGTCGTCGGTCGGTGCGCCACCTGAATTTGGTGCTTCCTTAAGTGTCTTTTAACGAGTTCGGACACATTTTTAATGTAAGGAAGTGTTCGCCAAGTTTTCGGTTCGGCCGTTTGATTTGGGCTACAGGCTCCTTTCTCTTCGACTCTTTCTGCCTCATGCATCGGCGCATATATATATATATATATATATATATATATATATATATATATATATATATATATATATATATATATATATATATATATATATATATATATATATATATATATAGGCAGAATGCTATTGCCGACAATGACAAGGGGGACTGGAATGGCCATTTCTGGCTTATTAGCCGACGTCAGCCAGCCATACCCAAGCCCGAAGTGCGGAACACTCGAGCCTCGAACTCGCGACCTGTTGGTTTAGAAGTCAACGCCTCTACTCACCGGGCCACGAGCCCGTTGCCTTGTCGGTTTTCGATCGGGAATATACAATGTTAGGGGGCGCTCACCGATCGTTCATACGGAACTCACTCGTTCCGTTGTGCCTTATGGACTCTCTCTCGAGCCCAACCAGCAGCCGCACAGCGGCGCATGAATGCTATTGCCGACAAAGTCACAGTGGAACGAGTGAGTTCCGTATGAACGATCGGTGAGCGCCCCCTAACATTGTATATTCCCGATCGAAAACCGACAAGGCAACGGGCTCGTGGCCCGGTGAGTGGAGGCGTTGACTTCTAAACCAACTGGTCGCGAGTTCGAGGCTCGGGTGTTCCGCACTTCGGGCTTGGGTATGGCTGGCTGACGTCGGCTAATAAGTCAGAAATGGCCATTCCAGTCTCCCTTGTCTTTGTCGGCAATAGCATTCTGCCTATATATCATGCGCCGCTGTGCGGCTGCTGGTTGGGCTCGAGAGAGAGTCCATAAGGCACAACGGAACGAGTGAGTTCCGTATGAACGATCGGTGAGCGCCCCCTAACATTATATATATATATATATATATATATATATATATATATAGTGGTAGGGGGCGCTCACCGATCGTTCATACGGAACTCAATCGTTCCGTTGTGCCTTAAGGGCTCTCTCTCGAGTCCGACCAGCAGCCGCACAGCGGCGCATGATATATAGGCAGAATGCTATTACCGACAAATCAAGGGGGACTGGAGTGGTCATTTCGTCATAATAAATCTCGTCTTCATATTTCTGTCTTTATGGTATTAGTCGGAAATTTGTGATTCCAGTGTACCGCATCCGACATGGTTTAGGTTTGTTAAGCTCTCAGTTTCCGGGGAAAACTGCAATTGTTCGATTAAATGCACGCACTCATTTCGATGTTCATTCTTTTAAAGCCCTAAACTTTTCGTTTTCGCAATTTAAAAATATCTTAACTATGTCTCTTTCTAAGTTCACACACAGTTTGCTATAAAATATGCAAATAGTCTAAGTGTTCATGCTCTATTGCACAATGCTGTAGGTATTTACATATCCAAATATAGTGTATCTAACAGTTATGTCCCTAGTTCTATAGTATTCTCATGATCGCACATTTCTTTCATTAATCACATCTTAAAAACTTCCCAGCAGTTCGCTTAGGGGGGGGGAATCCAGCAGTCCCCTGATTTGAATTCAAATTGTCTTCGGTCATGTGTTTATGTAATTTATTAACTTTGAACCAAGTCGCCCACCGCTGCTCACATTCACCACGATGCCTGTAGACTAAACAATTTTACTTCTTTCCCCGTATCTTAAGTGTGCCTCAACTATCCACTGTATTTGATCGACAAAGCAAGTTAATGTGCCTCTAAATTCTGTTAACGCATGACATCCTGTGTTCATCTGTACAGTCTTTGCTATTCCCCTCGCATTTCTTTCCTGTTACTTCCTTTCCATTTCCTCCATATATATCCTCTGCATGTAACCAATAGGGATTTCAAAGGCAAACACCTACTTTCCCTGAAATACACTGATACTGATGCTGAAGACAATACAATGGATTCACAGAATGGAGTCAGCACCCTGCTCACAAAGTTAAGTTGGCTGCATCTGAACAATGTTCAGTATTGCTTTTATGGAAATGTAAAGTCTTAAGGGCAATAATACTTATTAAGGCAGTTTATAATCGATAAGGTTTTCGATATCTTGCAAACTGTACTATTGCTGTACCCCAAGCAACAACTCACATAAATGTCTCTAAAGTAGCCTCAAAACCCAATCAATTTTCCGGCAGAAGTTATAAAAATGATTTCCGCGGATTTCTCTCAAGTTCTTCAAATACAGTTCAAAGAAACTTGGGCAAGTGGCACTTATGCAAGAAGTTGGCAACCAAGGGGTAAGATGTTTAAAGGAATTCGGAATTACTGCATCAGAGGTTGTTGAAAATATATCCATCCATGCGAATGTGAAAATGACAGGAAGTAGCATGAAACTCACAACATTCGTAATGCTCGCAAGCAGTCGCGCAAACCTGCTTTTTGTTAAGCATTGCAAAAACTCAACTGTTATCCTATCTGTGTAGTCTTCGTTGAGTATGTCCTTCTTTGTACGAATTGGAATACACAGTTTATCCATTTACAATTTCTGTGAATTCTCTTAGCTTGACGTCATCAGACAACTACTTCGTAACATAATATACCTGAGTTTTCAGAAGCACATTCCCGTCTTGTACGTGGAAGGTGCGGTAATCTTAGAAAAATGTTAATTATTATGTAGGTTGTGAATTTCATAGTGGTTCTTAGTCCTGACTCGAATCTTGGAACAAGGTGTAGTCATGCAGTTTTTGGCGATTTTTATAAATCAGTCTTAACCACCTTGCCAAATACCTCCGCCATTTGCTTCCTGGTAATCTACTTTTGGCGATGCCATTGACAAATCTTGCTGCTTTGTTAAGGCCACCCGCTTGCCACTGGCTTGTTCCAAATCAGGTCATGAGCATCGCACCTGTCTTCAAAAACAAATACAGAAACACTAGGTCCTCCAATGACTTATTTTTGTATTTACAAAGCAACCTCTTATCAGGAATATTTACAAAATTCAGCGGCCTCATTACTCCGTTTTACTCACTCAATGTAACCTTCAATCAAGGTCTGCCCGCCCACTACGACACCGACTTCCCCGTTGTAGGAGTCTTGGATGTAAGTCCAAACTACCAGTCTTCTTTAAAATATAAAACTTACAAAACCGAATTGAAAGGTTCATTCAGAGTCTAGTTGTTAAAGTGGTCGTTTTTCAGGACAGTTCTTTTGTTAAGGTGCACACATTATTATATCACATATAATAAATTATATATATATTATTATGTATTATGTACATTATTTTATCATTCATTCGGTAAAACACATAACATGCGGATGTTAAACAAAAAGGGAGCGATGCCAGAGGTCCTTTATGCATTACTAGGTCTTCGGCCAATGTTTAACGCTAGCGCTCAGCATCCCTTATAGCATTCTACTCGCCCAGGACTAGCCGGTTGCGGGCTAGTGCTACGATTGTCTGGATTTTTTCAGTAATCCTAGTGGACACTGCCCACACGAAAACAGCAGGTTGACGCGCCTTACCGGGCGAGTTGAGGGTGCTTTAGCCCGAGGCGATTTAAGTTGCCAGACAAGGGCCTAAATTCCGGACAAAGTGCGTGTGTGCACCCTGAATGCGTGCGTACTCGCAAAGGGACCCACAGGTGTGTCGTGCAAAATGCACTCGGGTGAGCAGCAAGGAGGGGGTGTAGCAGAAAAGCCCCTTTCCTCGCACAGATTGAACGCTGTTAGGCAGTCGGATTATTAGTCCTGCACTCGCCCACAAGTCAAACGAGCTAGCAACTGTTTAGCTCTGTACGACTAAATGCTGTCAGGGATTGACCGAAGACCTAGTAGCGCATCGTTTTTCAGAAGCCCAAACTAAATAACTGTCATAAAAAGAACTTAACTTCGTCTGGTATGAATTTAACTCTTTCTCCTGAAAATCAAGAGAGAGATTTGCATTCATTCCAGACGAGGTGTAGTTCTTTTCATGCCAGATATATTGTTTGGGCTTCTGAAAAACGATGCATCAATAATAAATTATCTATTTTGTAGTGATAAGCGTTGACATGTAGGTCAGGGACGTCCCCCTTACCCTGACGTAAAATTTCCTGTTGCTCTCGTTTTATTTAAAAGGACCGGGCTTGCCGGTTGGCAGGACATTCGACACCAGCTCTTTCCATCCTCTCAGGGAAAAGGGATTACCCTAGAGATAGCCGTCTTCTAGTTCTTAACTTCATAATTGTTTCAAAAAGTCGCAGTGGAGCATATTCTCCAACTGTATCATAATACTGCATCATACTCTAATGTGCGCCATGGAGTAGTCTATACCGTCAGGGTCAGTAAGTAATCAGAACAAACAGTGTAATAAATGCGAGTTCAATAGCAGTAAATGCCCTTAAAGAAGTCGACTTAAAATTTTTTATTCAGATCAGTCGGTGGTCAATAAATAATCACTAGGTAGTCGGAAACCCTTTAAACGAAAAATAATAAATAGCCAAGACCCGAACAGCCTCACTCTTTTAGTCTGCAAAATTTCTGATTTCCACCATCTATTTCCTTTGTACGTTTGTATACCAACTGGGGCCGGATGGTGTAAACATTTACAGACATATCGAAAGAAAATAACTTTTTGTGCTACTTCTTAATTGCAATGGAAGACTTAATAGTTACAATGAAAATAATTGAACAGTTTGAGTGGAAATATATGATACTTCATACAACACGTAATCCCTTGATGTTTAGTTTCATTAATTACGAAACAATTGAGGTTTCTTCCTGGCAAATGTCCGAGTCAAAAGCATGAAACAGTCAAATTGTACGAATTTTTGTTCTCATTACCTTTCTCACTTTCTTCTAATCAGAAAGCTGAAATATACAAGTTTTGTGAGACGAAAATGTTCATTTTCCCTTCAATTTAATGTCGCAGAGTATCCATTAGTCAAGGCCGAGTTGGCTGACTTGGATAAACTTCTTTTTTATTTACAATCCCTAGATCGATATATTAATGCGCGACGGGGTCTAACAATAGTTGGCAGAAGAATCCACTTTGTGGAATGGGAGGCGCAGGCTGTGGTGTTTCTTTGCTCTTCTTAGGCCACCTGAGTTGGTTGGCCATCGAGACCAATTTCACCTTTTCAGCTTCAGGGGCCAGAACAGTCTAATTTATACACTCTAGTCTTTGAAGAAGTAAACCTTTAGCAAGTTTTCCCTCTTTGACTTTAAACAACTGTAGTACATGTACAAATATCCCCTCCGAATATCACTAACGATGGCAGATGGGGAGGGTAACCGCCAAATATTTAGCGCTAAAAATTTCTATCGCATAAGCTAAAAATATCAAGACTGATTTTTTTAGTTTAATTATGCTTAATTTGAGTAATTTCTTCTTCTCCATGCCCGTTAGCGCACTGTTCAGCTACCAGACAATGTCCCAGTTTAATAATTCCGCGGCTGATTTATCCCTCAAGGAATACTATGAACATCTCAAGTCAATAATCAAAAGGTTGAACAGGTAAGAACACCATTTGACTGCATGTCTTCTCTTTAGGAAAGTGAGCGATAGCCCAGACTGCCGGCAAAAAATTATCCGCCAATTGAACAAACAGGGTGTGGACGTATCCACTGCCGTAAAAATAATACAAACTGAAAGAAAGACCTCCCGTAGGCGCAAAGATAGCAGTTCCAGCGAAGAAAGTGATTCCGACAGCGATTCAGACTCCGACTCCGAAAGCAGCAGTGAAAGCAGCAGCGAAAGTAGCAGCAGCGAAAGCAGCAGCGAAAGTAGCAGCAGCGAAAGCAGCAGCAGCGAAAGCAGCAGCAGCAGCAGTGACAGCGAAAGCACCTCAGATGATTGCAGTTCGAGTAGTGACGACTCGGATTCGGACAGCAGTTCCGACAGTGAGTCCGACAGTAGCAGTAGTAGTAGCAGTTCAGATGACCAGAAAAAAGTAAGCCCCCAGAAGAAACAGAAGGCTCAGAAGAATGTTAAGTTGTCCAAAATTCCGAAGATATGAACACTTTGCTCCTCATTAAACTTGGATATTTTGCATCTGAAAAGTTATGTACATACAGATATCTTCCCTAACAGAATTTTTAAAATTGTGTTGTATTTTAAGCAAGACGTACATTGGCGAAACACTATGAGTTAACACTTTACGCTTCTTTTTCATACCAGTAGATATAACTCGCGCCTATTTTAAGACGGCCTGGAAATTCAAATGAAAGTTTCTTTCAGATCGTTGTCTTTGCTACCGTCATCTTATAACCGAAGGGAAGTGGCTGTATTTGCTTGCGTGCTTCGATGGCGTCGTAGCTGGAACCGTTGTTTTCAACTCTGATTTGCCCCCGAGCTTACCAAAATCAGAGGCAAAAAAGGTTTAGAGCTTTGACAGATAATAAAAGGTCTACACTTCTGTCAACATCCGGGTTTCTAAGCTAAAACACTAGCGTCCTCGGGAGACCAAACTGACTTCTTATTTCAGCGATGACACCCATGTTGACATCCAAGAAGTCAAGTCCGTCCTGATGATGAATAATCGAAGGCGTACGTTTGCCGGACTTGACTACTTTAATTTCTTTTTCGCGGGGAATTTTCAATCTGCGTAGTTTGATTTGTTGCTGCCATAAAAGTAAACCAAGAGTTTCTGTCTTAGGTTGACGCATTTAATGCCACGACATTCAAAACATGTAGTCTTGAGTTCCCGAAGTGCACCGACCATCAACACGATTTTTACTCGCGAACTTGATTTCTTCCAACAGTCTACCACAAAAAGTATAAGTTTTTGAAATTACGAACCATGGCAAGTGGTTTTTTATATGAGGAACGTCACTCAGACTACAATAGACCGCCTTCTGAGGCCGCACGAAAGTAGCACTAACCAATTTCCACAACTGTAGCAGCCCAGCAGATGGAGCACCTGACCTGGATGTTGGGAGTCGGCCGTTTTTTGGCTGCAGAAGTTCCGAAGAGGCAATTCGACAGGCGTACGGGTTCAATCGACCACAGAAAATTCTGAAACATTATCTATTGGTGTGTGATTAAATTCTGAAAAGAAGTTAAAGAATTTACTTATGTCTCTGGAATTTCACTTGACACCTGTTTGGATCTAACGAACCACCACAAACGTTGTTAAGCATGGATGCTAAACAGAAGCGTTCTAATGCATGCTAAAAGGACTGGCTGCCAGCAAAATGAGTTGGAAGCTTGACTAATATTGCACAATGTAAAGCGACCTCTGAGGTGTACCGTTCTTTGCTCTTTAGGTCTGAAGATCAAAGCTTAAAGCAGAATAGTAGAACCGTCCCTGTGGACAAGGATTAGGAAACAATGCCGGCCAGAAATAGCAGTAATTGGTTTTGCACCGGGACATTTCACTTCTGTTGTTGACAAGAGTGGACCACAATTCCGACTGCTCGTCAGTTATTCACCGCCAGTTATACATTTTTGCACTCGTATAGCGATCTGAAACTAACTAGTTAGTCCGTGATTGCTTGCATCGTTTTGCACTCGCACGAGGGACAAATTGGATTTGTGATGAAAATGTGAGAGGCATAATCTGCTTAATTAGTCCGGGGCTTGTCATATTTCAATAAGGACTTTTGATTGAGTGCACCAACTTCCTCCTGGCTTAATGTTTTGCGGCTTTGCAAAACAGTATGGTTTTCTGGTGTGTGCAGCAACCGCATCCGGCAAACAAGCCAGTCACCTTTTTTCAAAATCACCATGTCTGATGATGTGTTGGAGGACAAACTAAAAAAGAAAGGCAAATAATGAGTTTTCCTGCAACCCGGCCTTCCTTTTTCGCACGAATTGTGTTCAACTGATCGTTATTCTCATTCACCTAGCACGCATATTTCATGGAAAATGCCTTTACCGTAAGCTCAGCCATGGTAGAAGCTATAGTCCGGATAAATGTTTTGCACTAGATTCGCGGCTGAACTAATAGGTACCCTGGCGTTTACAAGTCAGTTTCTTGAAAAATATCTAGTCGGAAAATAACAACAGGGCAAAGTGGCTAAGAGTGCTGGAAAGGTCACCTTTGTCAACGAAGACATCGAGCCTGAAGAGTCAGGCTGGACCGTTCCACTTTGGCCCCAGCCAGCCGCTTTGTTGGAAATAAGACGGGGTGAAGGTACAAGTAATTTACGAACTGGGGTTATACCGAAAACCACATGAAGAACGTCGGTGCGTCGATGGTGAGCCGAACCCTCTGGAGTGTGGGAAGTCGACAAAATGCGCATGGACGCTTGGGAATTTGCAGATGTGAGCACTACGCTAGTAGAAGGTTGAAGTTGATACCATTCAAGTCCAGTGTTTACGCATATCATGTCCCAACGGTCTTAATCTTAGTTTTTTACATTATTTTTTAACGAAATTACATTTAATTTTGCTTATGAGCCCATTTGTTTCCTATTTTGGCCATTATAATGAGAAGAGATTGCTAAGCAGTACCATCGAGTGGGTCTCAGCACTCAATGTGTAACAAATAGTCACACTAATCAACCGCAGGTTAGGGACAATGTAACGCGGAAAACTGATAAGTGATTGGTTGTCTTCCCTCAACCAGCACACCTACAGATCTTCATGGAGACTATTTATGGCGCAAAAGCACATTTCTATGGAAAAAACAAACATCGATTAACGGCGAGCGTGTGCAGACTTTCAAATTTGCGCGTTTAAGTTAGGCAGGCCCGTATTTAATTTTGCTTGAGTGGGAAGGGCATCTTGCATATTTTGTCAAGTGGCTTGCTACCCACGGAAATAATTTTGGCACATCGGTAAATAAAACGGGCTAGGTAGAAAAGATCACGGCCTAAAACTTTGTTAACTGAGATATATACCTGGCTCTGTTTTAACCATATTCTACGTAGGGATTATACATTCGTCCATATACCAGCTTCAGGGAGGTGATTTACTTTGTTGAAACACTCGGTAGGATCCTATTACATGAAATAATAATAGATCTTTGCGAAAGTGCCATAGTGTTAAATAACTCTCGGAATTTTCACTCTAGAAACTGAGGTTCAGAGGACTGGGCGAACCTCATATGTTTTCGTATAATGAGAGTATTCGAGTCGTCTTGGTGCCAGTCTGAAATATAAGGAAGCGCGGGTTTCACAGAATGTAAAATTCAATGAAGTCGAAAAATTTGCGAAAGCTCATCAAGGTTGTCATTGCACTCTCTTCAAAAGATGTTAGAGTTGGGATACCGCATTTCCATACTGTCTTCCGTCACGTCGACCTTTGGTTAGGGAAGTCTTCTCTCCTGTGAAGGATCGTGTCGAAAAAGGTTAGTCAGTTGTAATCTTCATGCGCACTCGTGGACTATTTCTCCGCATATGGCCTGCTCATGCCAGTAAACTGTTACTCTACCGTCTCCAACTATCTACTAAAACAAAAATCTCATCTAGATATCCTGCATGCCTTGTATTCTGGCTCGAAATTGCTCACACAGTTCTATGGGGAAATCGAGCGAACAACCTACTGTTAGACTGTCCAATTACCTGTATGAGTAACAGTTGAAAAGGAGGTTTGCTTGCATGCATAAATATAGATACTTACACAAATTTAGTGACTTCAAACCAAATATTATATCAATGGTTGCACACAACAGCGCATCGGATGGACAGACTTTGGACTGCTTCACAGTCTGTGTGAAAGCAGAGGTAACTTTTATCGCGGACGCAACACGATCTCAACAGGCCAGTTTGCCAGACAAAAGCTATGTGAGCTTGTAATGGAAATCATTATGGCCGATATCGTTTAACCTTATTTGGTTTGTTCGTCAAAATTTACTTTGGAAGAGAATGATCTAACCCCCCTAGTTGGCCTTTATTCTGGCTCAGGGTATTTCCCTGCACATTTACAAATAACTTCATGCCAATGAATTGCCTCCTGCCTAAATTTCTAACCTTTTAAATGCACAAAATTAAAATATAATTGTGCAATTAATGCATACTGGGATCGCAGCGAATCTCAGTTTTATTTGAATGAAATGGCAGGATCCAATTTACAAATTTTGACTGGTGACGACCAGTTTGACGCATACGGTGGTCTGTAGGAAGTCACTGCGCGGACTAGAGAACCGCCGAAGGCCAGGTCACCGGCATTTAACTGGGAGTAAACCGTGAACTCTGTGCTTGTATGGTGGTGATGATGATGATGACGACGACGACGACGACAATAATAATAATAATGGTGAAGATGAGTATGATGATGACGGAGGAGGAGG